CAGTTTCACATCATCACAACAATACGGCAGAGGACCGCAACCGCTACCACTCCACCATGTTTCTGGAGAGACAGCTGCTCCCAGGCCTCTCCATCATGAACCTCCTCTCCTTCCTGTTTTGTTTGCCTGTACAGGTAAATCACAGGGATTAACTTCACTCCCAGGAAACATGATAGGGAACTTTTAGTAGTAGTAGTCGTAGTAATAGTAGTATTAATTTCGTGGAGTCATATTAATGGTTTCTGTTTTGTTTTTTCTCTCTCCTTAGTTTATTGGAGGTCGCTACTTCTACATTCAAGCCTGGAAAGCCCTGAAACACAAGTCTGCCAACATGGATGTGCTAATTGTTCTGGCCACTACCATAGCCTTCACCTACTCATTCGTTGTCCTAATTGTGGCCATAGCGGAGAAGGCAAAAGTCAATCCCATCACGTTCTTCGACACACCGCCTATGCTCTTTGTCTTCATCTCTCTGGGACGCTGGCTGGAACAGATAGCCAAGGTTTAGCTCATATTTATTAATATCTGTGACATTTCAAGTAACTTTACTTTTTTGAAAAGTCTGCAAATCGATACACATGTATAAGAAGTCAAATTGTTTTATGTGCCGTCTTCCAGAGCAAGACTTCTGAGGCTTTGTCCAAACTGATGTCTTTACAAGCCACTGAGGCCACAGTTGTCACTCTCGGCAGTGATAATTCAGTTCTCAGGTACTCCTGGTTCTCTGCCCTCACCTTTCACATGTTGACTTGGTTTTAAATGACAACATAATGAAATGTTTGCAGTTAGAGTACCTGTTGCAGGGCTCAATACTAACTTTTTGCCATGGGTGCACCGGTACGCCTAACTTTAAAAATTTAGGCGTACTGGCACAAAAGTTAGGCGCACACAAATTTTTCAACCGCATCGCTTAACACCGCAGTTTTACATGTGCACCTTCTTTGGGGGGGAAGTCCATACAGACAATATTCATTTCTAAATTATTAATTAACAATCTTGTGCTTAAAGTGCTTTGTCAATATTGTAGAAAATGTTAAACTTAATCATCATCTTGGCCTCCTCTGACGACATGTTTGCTGCTGCTGAAAGGCAGTGGGGAGAGGGGACACTTGGGCAGTGCATTTATTGCAGCATATAATGTGTTTTCTGGATACACTGTGCTTTTTCAGCATTCAAAGA